CAGATCTATGTAGGGCTCTGAGTTTAGAAGTCTGTCCGTATTGATCCAGTTGTAGGACTGGGTCCTAAATCTCTTGTAGATTATGATTGTTGGGACTATCAATGCTATTCTGAAAATTCAGTGGACTTTGTTGCCCTGTTTCCTGTAACCTTTTCTCTGACTAGCAATGTGTGCTTTTTATATTACTGTTCATAAAGTTACATGGAATGATATTTAAAATTATTTTGTATAGTTTAAGGATGAGAAATCTTAGTTACAGAAGTTAGGAATTCGTGGGGATTTTTTTGTTTTGTTTTTTTGGGTTTTGTTAATGGTGTATAACTATGTTGATCTTATGCCATCCTTAAAGTTAGAGAAAACAGGGCCAAATTGTCTGTTGGTTATCTTAATTTAAGTCAAAGAATTACACGCATTGAGAGCTCAAGCTCGCAGCTTCCATGACTAATAAAATGATGAAACTATCCGTGGCGGTGGGAGAAGCAAAACTGGTGTGACACTATTTAGGTGCCGCTTGGCCTCAGCTGGTACTCTACCTTCTTTACTATATTAAGATCTTCTTGGCAATAAGGAAATACAAGTTGGGCTTCAGATGAGTACACGAGTAATTTTAGCAGGGTGTCAAAATAAGCTGGCATGCTCTGTAGAGTAATAGAACACAGCATCATAGGAAGATGAAAAACAAATGTGAGTGCTGACTGGTGCTGTTTACCATTAGCAGGACTCAGAAGTATGCCTTATTCTTTGTATATGCTTTAAAAAAAACACACACACAATCTGCAAGGAACAGAGCGGCTCAGTGGCAAAGCTAACATGCACCTGCCAAAATTGATATGCAACAAGCTACAAAATGCTGTAGTTCTCTTAAATATTAGCAACACCATTTCTAGTTTGTTTTGAGTCTGGGCACAGTTGGTGTACAGCATTTTAAAATGTTGTGCTATTTTGTTTTCATCCCAGAGGCCTGAAATCCTTAACTTAGAAATGCATATGAAAATTCCATTTGCACTTGTAAGCTTATTCAAGCCATAACTGGCTGCTTATCTTTTTTAGATTTGGGTGTCGGAAGAGGGGCTTCTTCTGTGTATGATCTGGTAAACACTATGAAAAACATGAGTAGGCTTTGCTGCAAGTTGCCATCCTTTTTTTTTTAATTTTATTTTTATTTTTAATGAAACCTATAATCTACCACTGTGTATCCCAAATCCATATCTGGGTTCTCTTCTCCCCCCCAGATTTTTTTTAAAAAATGTGCTTATGAATGCTTCTAGGCATTTCTGGGGAGGGGGGAAATCATGCAGTGCAGCACAAGGTTAAACTCAGCAAATTTCCACAAACCATCAGACACGTTTTTTTCACCCCTAGTCACACCTGCATACAGAGATGTGAATAACAGGCATGCCTGGCAACATGCATCATGGGTCAGGAAAGTCAGGATTTTTGTGCAGGCATTGATAGGCAAGAACCAAATTGAAAGTTAGCACCTTAGTTACATGATGCTTTTTCTTTCTAAAATTGAGTCCTGGAAGGAGGGGAGGGTGTTGATAAAGTCGTTCCTTTGACCAATGGACCTATACACAGAAACAAAGATGCTATACTACTTGTTTCTAATAATTGGACTTTTTAAACCAGTAGAGAGAAGAGAGAATCTGATGTAAGGGTAAGGGTGTGTGGTACTAAGCATAAAGGAAAAAAATACTTAATAATCCTGTCACTTGAGATGCTGGGGTGGAGTCAGGGGAAGAGGATTGTAACAGAGGATCCAGGTAAGCAATAAAATGCTGTGGTAGTGAAATCTGATAGAATGAAGTGGAACATCAGAAAGAGAAGTGACACTGTAGTTAAGGCAATTGTTGGGAGTGATTTGTTTGAAAGAGGGAAAAGCAGAGCGCTCTCTCTATTTTCAGTCTTTCTGATACACATTCTATCCAGCTCTCAAACCTTTTATTCCACCTATGGTGCTTTTCAGTTATTGCGTGATAAATCTAAGCTAGAATCTAGGGGGTGCAATTGTAGGTTTTATTTATATTTCATGAAAACACTAACAATTCTGTTTGGGTTTCTCTATAGAAAAACCACTGAACTACTGGATAGATTGGAATTGGGTTTGCCAAAGAGAAACTCCTGTCAAATGGCTAATCCTAGTCCAGAATCAGCAGCATGGGTAAGTCCTTCCATAGAATATGAAATGTTTTGCTAGTTCTAGAGGTGCTACCAACCGTACAATGTTGAAGTATTTCATTTCGTTGAACACCCTGCACACATAGTGAAGTGTGTAGTAGGAAATCATTTGGCTTGGCAG